GAGGCAGGAGACAGGAGCTGCACCAGGGCACTGCCATCCAAAGGGCTGCTGGCTCCAGAAACTGCAGGAGCGACGTGGGGCTCGTCCACCCTGACGTGTGAAGGCTGGGATGAGGTCTGGCACTGATGGCATCGGGTGGGACACGGGGCTCATCTGCTGCCAGGCTTCACCAGTGACCCAGAGGCTCAGCCCCTGTCACCACCAGCACCCTGGGACCCTCCCTTTAGAGGGAGGAAACAGAGAAACACTGCTGCTTCCAGGAGGTTTATTAACATCACATGGTGGCTTTCAATATAAACTTATTTATAAGTGCCTGAACAAACCCCACAGTGCCTGAACAAACCCCACAGTGCCCAAATCACAGCAGGAACAAACCCCACAGTGCCTGAACAAACCCCACAGTGCCAGAGCAAACCCCACAGTGCCAGAGCAAACCCCACAGTGCCAGAGCAAACCCCACAGTGCCCAGCTGTAGCTGGTACAGGGGCCAGGAGGTGGGGAGGGCAGCAAGGGCAGGAGGGTGTCCTGCACAGCAAGGCCACAGGGAGCACCCTGAGAACTCTCAGAACATCTGCTCTCTTCCTTCCCTGCAGTCTCCCACCAGGGGTGTCCAGCCTGCAGAAGAGAAGGCTTCAGGGAGGCTCTGCTGTGGCGTTGAGCACAGCGGGATGGGGGCCCCAAGCTCAGCATCTCCCATCCATCTCTGGTCTCTCAGCTTCCCAGACCTGCCTCCTAAATCTCATTTTCTCATTAGATCCAGTGGAAATGCATGTGCTACCAATGCTTTTAATTGGGTGATTCTTTGGAAACCCGACATGCTGAATAAAACTGGAGTAATCCTGAATCCTAATAACTCCGTGGGCGCTACAGAAACCACCCGAGCTTTGCTCAGCAAAACCTGGCGCTTACTGAAGGCAGTTTCAGTGTTTTACAAGACTTCAGCATCTTTTCCCTTTCTGAAAGCAAATCCCTCACTAAAAACACGTTGTGTAATCTCCTGGCTAGCAGGCTGCAGTAACTGCTGAAGTTAGTCAAAGGCACTAAGCAGCACACTGGGGTTTTTTTGGGATATGAAACTAACCCACAGCACCTTTTGCTGTGCAGTGCTGGCAGAGGAGTCTGCACCAGGCAGGTGCCCATTGCAGTGACACTCTCCCATCAGTTTCTTCAAGATATAACAACTATTAAAAAAACCTCCAAAGTGGATGGAAGTTATGTAAGATTAATGCTTTTAAGCTCAAAAGTCGCAATTTCAGCATGAAATGTATTTTCTGATTCAAGGCTGTCACTAGAACCTCCTCCACTCTGCCAGTAACATTCCCTTTGACAGACTTCTACCAAGCTGGTCTTACGCTTTCTTGACTACAGACACTTGGCAAACCTGGAATATTGATTGTTTAGTGCCACACACCTGTTTGTGTAATATGGGTCCCACATCTGTGTTTGCAGGGAAATAGGATCCAACAGCCATCTTTAAATGCATTTTAGGCTCCACAAACACAGGACAAGTGGATTATAAGGTGTGCCAAAATAAACTCAAAATAAAAATTAAATGAGGGGAAAACAGTGTGATATTGCAAAGAAAGGAATATTTCTTGCTAATTAGACCCATAAACTTAATTTTCATTAATGAGCAACATTTTCTAGTCAAAGGTGCTCCTGGCCGTGACAGGCATTGGACCTGGATGGTTTTTAAGGTCCCTTCCAACCCAAAGCATTCTGATCCCATGTTTCTATTATTAACATGTTGATTTTAAACCAAGCTGCCCCAGGCTGTCCCCACGCTCCCCAGGACCACAGGATGGCAGGGGCTGCTGGGGGCCCGTGGGGACCAGCAGCCAGGAGCAGGGAGAGGCACTCTGTGTCAGCTGGCCTGTGCAGATCCTTAAAACACACAGCAGAAGGGATGTTACTGACATTTACACCTTACTAACACATAAATAATGCCCATTTTCCTACTAAATTATTGAAAGACAGAGGCGGGTCCTCTGTTGTTGGCAATGATGTGAGCTCCACATGAAGTCTGGTAATTCCCACTGGCAGCTCCAGGCACATCCCAGCCTCAAGAGCAGAGACCTTCTCCAGGCCATGGCCAGGGGGAGCACAAGGACAGCTCAAAGTATCAGGATATAAGTAACATGAAAAACTCCACTGAAACATCAAAAAGGCCATAAAATCATCTTAAAATTACAGCTGCTTAAACCACAGCACATGGACAACCCAGCTGGATGCTGAGGGAATAGCAGCACATCCACACCAGAGCTGGCCACACTGGTGCCAGGCATGTTTTCAAACTCTTATTCTAACTGTCTGTTCAAGGAACCCACAGCCCCAGCCCCAACAGAAGGGAAAGTGTCTCATTCCAGACCAAACTGCACAGCAGGACAGTTCAGCTCTGTGAGACTTTTCTAAACTGGTTTCCATTTGAATGGGAGCTGGGTTTAAACCAGCACATTCCTGAGACACAGGTGAGGTGGGCTCTTCCTCCTCCTCCTCCTCTGGAGGAAGGGACAAAGGCTCAAGGTGTAGCTCCGAGGTTTGTGTTTGGGCTGGGTGTGGTACCACAGCAGATGCTGCTGCCCCTTGCGTTTGATCACTTTCCTGTCAACAAAAACAGTCCCAAACCATGCCCAGGACAGAGCATTTTTGTCACCTTCGAATAAATCCCAAGGGAACACCTTTTGTTTGGTTGACACCTGAAGACCCTGTTTTGGAATCAAAGGGAAGTCAGGATGTAAGGAAGCTGAACAATACATTTCTTTTGTATGTCACTGTTTGAGTCAGAAAAAAACAGTAAAGCTGTTTCTCCTTCACAAAATGCACTAAATGCACGTGAGTGGGATTTTAATTTCTGTGCCAGGCTGCCACTCGAGAAAAGCAATTACATTTTATGGTAGCATTTGCTTATAGACATGCTAAAAATCACAAGTGCCATTGATGATATTTTGGCAGAAAAGATAAATATCTATCAGAAACTGCTTATCTAGGAATAAAAGTTTACATCTCTTGCTAAAAGTTTACACATTCAAATAAGGGGAGGAAACCCAAGCACTGTATTGCCAAAACACACCTACCCACTCTGCAGAATGGAAAGCTCTATCCCTAAGCTCTATCCTTCTCTTTCAAATAAATTCACTTTAAAAAATTATCCAGGGATGGGGCATCCATAGCTTCTCTGAGCAACCAGCCCTAGGGCTTCACCTTCCCAGGGAACAATTCCTTCCAATCTCCCATCCATCCCTGCCTGTGGCAGTGGGAAGCCATTCCCTGTGTCCTGTCCCTCCAGGCTCTGGTTCAAAGTCCCTCTCCAGCTCTTGGAGAGAAACAGAAACACTTTTGATACCAAACCCTCTGCCATCTGCAGCTGTTTGTAGCTGGCAGCACTGCCCACAGAAACTCCCCTTTGCAAGGGACCCCAGCTCTGGGGCTGCAGCTTTCCTGGGGAGCGAGAGGGCAGGAGCAGCTCTGCCCCAGCCTCTGCAGCCCTGCACAGGCTGTGCCTGCAGCCCCACGCTGGCAGCTGATGGAAAGGGTGAGATGAAAGCAGGTGATGGCTCTTGGCAGTTCCCTGTGGCTGCAGCCAGATCCTGCTGGGCTCACGGGGTCTGTCACACTGAGCCTGGGCTGAGCTCCTGTCCCCCAGCTCCTTCTGGGGAGCAACACAGCCAGACAGAAACAGGGACAGGACACAGCACACCCTGCTTTCGCTATTAGAAAACATCCACTTTCTGCATGAATCATTTCCTTGTACTTCTACTAAATTTAAGCAAGTGGCTTTGCAAGGTTTTTGGGGTTTTCTCCTTGTTTGAAGAAGATAAGTTTTCTTTTCATCTCTTCTTTAAATGCAACATAAAAAGTACATAATACAAGTTCAGTGTCCCAAACTTGTATAAAAGTAACTGCCTTGCAGGGTTCCCAGTTTTAATCAAATACAAAGAAAGTCCTAGAACTCTCTTCCCACATTCCTGTATTTTTATTTTCTTCTATTTCTCCTTGTTATCACTAGTAATGTTTCAGTTTTTCCAAGAGGGCTTCCCAGACATTAGGAATGACAGGATTAAAACATAAGCACAGAAAGCAACTCAAAGGAAATGCTGAAAATTACATACATGACACTTATTTTTCATTTCTTCGCTGAATTCACATCAGCCCTTTTGTTCTCCTCAGGTCCTCCTTGGGATGCCTGAGGTGAGCATCCCACTGATGAGGATCTCAGCACACCCAGCATGGTGCTGAGCAATTCACAGAGAGTAAAGACAAGTGCTACCCTGGGGAACTGTGAACAGGAGATTCCAGAGAGCTGCCCATGGCAGGGGCCCCAAAGGCACCTCTCAGCACAGACTGCCAGCAGCCAGAGTGAATCAGTGTCCAGCTGGGGAATGCTCAGGTGAGGAGGAGTGAGAATAAAGGCTCCAGTGCTTTCCTGAATGGAAGCACCACCAGGCCAGCAGAGAACCTCTAAATCCCACTCAAGCAGTAACAGGATAAAAAGGTAACAAATACATCCGTGCAACCTGAACAGTTCTAAGGACACAAATCAGCTGTTTGAACAATGCAGACACACTCTTTGTTCTGCAGATCCACAATCCCTGGGCTGATGGTCTGTGCCCCTCCTCTGCAGGGTGTCAGATGTCCCCTCCTGCAGCACAGCACAGCTGCCAGCGCCTGCACACCCGAGCAGCACACACAGCCTGGCACAGGGAGCACTCAGGATAAAACAGCTAGCCAGCCCCTCTGGAGCTCCTTGCTCCTGGCCACCCCCCCCTGAGCAGCTGCTGCATCTTTTCAGAACATCAGGATAGCCACAAGTTTTGTTACCAGGCTGAGATGCAGCTGCAGGGCTTGGTGCATCATCTGCCTGGCTTTGACATCCTCCTGGTACCCTTCTTCTCTCCAGTTACTGGGGATCTGGGAAAGCATTGAACCAAGGTTGTTTCCTTCCTGTAATGTTCTCCCTCTAAGTATTTATGGCCTTTATAAGGAATCATAAAAGATTGACCTCTTATTGACCTCATATTGACCTCTTTATCCCTCTCTCTATTCAAGGCTTAGAACAGACTAAGAAAACTGGTGGGAAGTTGTTCATTTGCAAAGAGCTGATGATCTGCTGTCATTTGTGTGACTGCATCTTCCTGTTGCAGAAAGAAAAAACACAATCAGCTTTGTTATGCATTTCTTATGTGCTTGAAACACACTATTTCACAACTGGTAAGCCAATAAATCTCTTGCACTGGATACAGCTTCCCAACAGGATCTGGTGGGGCCCTAGATGGGAAGTGACCAGAAACTCAGGGAACCTGGACCAGCTGCAAACCAGGGGACAGCCCAGACAGTGGAAGGAAAACCCAAGTGGCAGAAACCAGGGGGAAAACGCCATCAAAGGAATGAATTTCCCTGGGATGTGGAAGTGTGTGACAGCCTGGAGCTGAGCTGAGGGGCAATATGAAATAACAAGGGTTCCAATTCTCACTGTCACAGCAGCTGACAGAAACTGAACTCGGAGAAAGGAGGCACGACCCACTGCTCTGGGCACTGGATGTGTTCAGTCTGGGGGAGCTGCTGGAGGCTGGAGCAGGACTGGGTGGCAGCAGCAGGTTTGGAGCACGATGAGCAGAGGCTGTGAGCAAGCTCCAGAGACCCAAAGGAGAGCTGCAGGCAGGCTGGGACCAGGAATGTTGCTTTTTACAGTATGCAAAATTCTTAATCTGTGCCAGTTTTAAACTCATAAAAACTTTCCAGGATCAAGCAAGGGACTGGGAAGACATGCTCTCAGAATTAACACCTTTATTGTTTTTCCTAGAAAGAACTGAAATCAGACTCCAGTTCATTACATTTCTCTGTAACAAATTTAGGAAAAAAAGATGTATTCACACTCAAAAGAGGAACAAGACCTCCCCATTTTCCCCTCCTGGGACTGCTCCTTTTGGCAGGCACGGCACTGTAATTTTCCTGGGTTTACACCATCATATACACATAAAACTGCTGACACACACCCACCTGACAAAGGGTGCTCATGGCCCTGTGCTGGTCTTACCTGAGTAACTTGATTCTGCAGGGATGTAAGGAGCCCTTCCCTCTGCTCATCCTGACCCTTTGGGCAAGTGAGTTCCAGTGACAGGAAAGGCTGCTGGCTCAGCAGGGACATGCTTCTGGAGAAGCAAACACAGCACTTCATTAGTAAAGTTATTTTGATACTTCCCATCCCCAGTCCCTTCCTTGTTTTGTCTACTCTTTTTCCCCCTAAGTGGCACTGCTGCATCTGTGTCTGGTTCTGTTTTAGTCAAAGGAAGTCTCGGCAGAGGCATTCAAGACCATTCTCCCAGGAGGGCAGAGTCCCTGCCAGCCCAGCTGCACGAGTTGCTGCTGACATCTCCCAGCTCAGGGGGCTCTGAGGGAGCAACAACTGCCCACACACCTGACCCAGGAACACAGCAAGTTATTCCAAGAGTGCTTTGACTAACCAGGGATGTCATTTTGGTGTAGATAAGGCAGCTGAAGTTTCTAATCCATGCTAGAGGTCTGAAGTAGGTCCCAAGGAAGTTTCCCCTAAAGGCTCTGATTAGAACAAGAGCTGCCTGACTTCAACACTCATTTTCACCAAAATATACATTACACTTCTCAAATATAATAAGGTTCTTTCTCCAGAAGAGGACAGGGGAGCAGTTTCAGGGTGTTACCTGCTGGCAGATCATTCTGAGCACATCTTGTGTACTTGCTCAGACTGGTGCTTTCAATGGAAACAGCTTTTCCACAGGATTTCAGTGTCAGAGGAACCCCAGGTTTCCTCCTCACTGAGCTCACTTAAGAAGCCTCTGACATGGAATTCTTCCCTCCTCAAGAAGCTGACATGATTGCTGCCAGCATCACCGGCAGGGCAGAGGCGCAGGGTGAGCTCCCAGCCTGGCTGAAGGAGGGAGGGACACCTGGGGACTGCAGCACGGCCAAAGGCCATCACCAAACTACTGTCCTCTGCCTTCACGCTGCAAAGCACCTTTCTATGGGTATTTCAGAAGTAGGAAAAGGTTTATACAAATCAAACACCACTAAAGGCACCACATGCTCGACCAGAAAAGGCGAGTGAAAGGAATTGCTTTGGCAGATTAGGAAGGGGTGAGTTACCCACTCTTCTCAGATGCCCTTTTTCCAAGTCCTATCTCTCACTTTGATTTATTAACATTCTGTAGTTCAAGAGATAAGTTTGCCAGTGGCCCCTCACTCTTACTGTGAGCCCACACCTTTATCCAGGAAGGATGAGAGGGAAGAGCCTGGCAGGGAGATCATACAATGAAGAGAGTGGCCCCAAGGCCACGTGAACCTGAAGCCATCCCAGAATGCTCTGATAAAACTGGAGCTGCTTCCTCAGCACAGAACTGCAACAGCTGCCACTTTTCTGATGATTTTCTTCAGCAAAGCAAGTAAAACTTCTGAATTACTACTGCAGGGTGCCAACAGGCTGAACTTGTGCCAAACCAAAGGCAGTTACTTGTTTGGAAAACAACACTCATTATTCGTGGAGAGCTGTTCAGAGTGATGCTTTTACAACCTCCACAATGGCAGACACCCAGGACTTGTGGCAAAACATAGAAAACTCACCTGACACCCTATTTCCTATCTATATTTGAGAGGAACTTGCCTGAGTTTAAATGTACTGGGACTCAGGAGTGGAGGTCAGGGTCAAGATCTGAAATAGTTACATGGGCCTAAAGCCTCTCCACTGGGTCTGACTCACCAGGGAAAGATCTGCCTCTGACCTGGAGTCTGCACTCCCCACACGCTGCAGGAGCAGGGACAGCAGCCACATTCTTCCCCTGCTCTCAGGGTTTGCCTTCCCAGGAGCATTCCCCAGCAGTGAAGCAGCAGGAGCAGTTTCCCACACTGGCATGAACACGTCACACAGGACTCTGCACACCCTGACCAAGCATCACAATCGCTTTCAAGACTGCACACACAGCTCCACTTCAGCGCTGCTGTCAGCAACAGCCATCACAAGAACAGGTGACCATCACAAGAAGAACAAATTCCAGGAAACAATTTCTCTGTGGAAACAAGAGGAAATCTTGTAAAAAATGTGTGTTATTTACCAACTAACATTTCCTTTGTACAAAATCCTCCTCAGCTTAGAACAGCTACAGAAGCTCAAGAACTGAAGAAAGAACTGAATCTTCTGACATTGAAACTGCAGCCTAACAGGTAAGTGATTAATTCAGCTGGGATATGTGGTTATGATGGATTAATACCAAAATAAGCTGTGGGTACTGAAATAGAAAGAGGAGTCTGTTGGTTCACTGTGTCTGTGTGAACAGCAAACTTAACCACGAGACACTGAAGCCTATGTTGGTTTTGACACCACAGATTCAGGAAATTACATCTCTTACCTCACCTGCATGACAAATGAGGCAAAATTAACTGCTGTAAATGCTTGAAATCACAACTCTCCATTTCCATGTAAGGCTCCCAAACAGCACAGTGTGTATCCCTGTTAGTGCCTCTGCCCCTGCCCTTCTCAACACTGCCAGGTGTAGAAAATGAGGAGGTTTCAGCAAATTCCTGTTTACCTTCATCCAAGTTTTACCTTCATCCAAACCATTTCCCAAATAATTAAGATTACTTGTATCAACTCCTCAGCAGTGAAACACCTGCAATTTTGAACCTGCACTATGGATATTTTCACCCATGAAAATCTGCAGCCATCAAAAACCAATTGTGGGTTCACTTTCTGCAATGGAAGGACCAGACAGCTGATCTCACCTGTTTGCTGGGGAAAGAGGCACACCTGGGGTGTCCTGGGAGGTGCAGGAGCAGCTGGCAGCTCCTCCTTGCCCCAGGCTGGGCATCCAGGTCCCCACAGGCTGTAGGGGATGGGAGATGCACGTAAGGATCTGCCCAGGACCTCACCAGTCCCAGCGTCAGGCCTGGAAATGTTCTTCCTCACAGCCCCATTTAAAATGGAAATGCAATGATTTCAGCACCAGGAATTGGCCCCTGGGGAAGTTCACAGCCACCAGCCCTGACACCTCTTAGCCACCCTCAAGTCTTTCATGCTGGGTTTTTCTCCTGGAGTTGTGCTAGCAGCAGTGAGGCAGTGCAAGGTGCTGGACACAGCCTCCAGGGAGAAGCTCTGCTGGGCGACCAGGACGGTGACAAACGTGGCCAGGGAGTGGTGGAAGGACAGGTCACTCACCTGCAAGGACAAACGCTGCAGGGCCTCGCACAACAGCACACACCCCTGCCACAAGCACTGAGGAATTCACTCATGCAATGAACAGCACATTTACACATAAGCACTTGTCCCCTTTGTACCTTTCAATGCGTTCCCCAAGCATTTTATGGCAAATATTGACAGCTCTTATCTGAATTTCAACAAATTCCAATTCGAAAAACCAAAATTCTGGAATAAAAACCATAAACCTTACAAAAGCTTCAGGAAATTTTATCATTCAATAAAACCAGGTAACACTGAGACTCCTTCCTCAGCTTCAGGACAGGAATGTCCCCACGGACACAGCTTCAACCTGCTCCCAAAGGCAAATGCCATCAAACTGAGGGTAAATATATGGAACCAGGTATTGGATCAAATCAGTCACCCCAATCCTGCTGACTCGAAAGGGGCTTTGGGAACAACACCAAGTGAGTAAGAAACAACCAAGCATAGTGCCCCTTTTACAACTGAGGGCCCAACACCAAAACATGGCCCTTAAAACAGAGACAGTTATCAACACATCCATCAGCCTCTCAGGAAAAGCACACGGCTTTGCCTGCTCCTGTTGAGGACTGACTGCATCATCCCATCAGAGACACAGCAAAAAAGCTGCCAAGAGAAAACCTGCTCAAGGTTTACATTAATCCTGAAAATGCAAAAACTAATAAAAAAATCAATCAGGGATCTCATTAAAAGACTTAAAAATTCAGCTGGACACAAGACTGAATTTGTACTTCACATTTCGTGTGGAATGGAAGCCCACCTACCTTTGTAAGGAAACCTGGTAAACAGGTGTCCCGGGTATTGAGCAGATACTGAATCACATCCTCGCTGCAGCTCAGTGGTTGAGGCCCCAGGCATGGTTTGAAGAGCAGCACGGAGCTGTCCCAGCGCCCAGCCGAGCCGAGGGGAGCAGCCCACGGCCAGCTCCGCACACAGGCTCCCGGTGCCACCCGTCCTGCCAGGGCAGCAGCACTTACACAGCCCTGGTAAGCAACAAATATTTAGGTCAAAGCAGAGCACTGCCTGGCAGCAGAACCGGTGTTTCCTTACTCAGGGTGGGTGTTTATGTGCAGTGTGATTAGCCCACGATTCAAATACCCCACGGCTGCTCGGTGGTGAACAACGAGAAAACCTCTCTGCAGCAGCCCCAGGGACAGAGCTGTGTGAGACACTTCTCAGCTCTGTGCTACCGGGGCAGCCACTGCAGGACCCTTCCCTCTGACAGCCATCAGGAGGGAGACAAGCCACAAAATCAACTGGCACTAGAGAATTTGATTTCAGAGATCCTATACAGTGTACTGTGAGATTTGGGGCATGATTCAGGGTTATGTAACAGTTTAAGAAACAGCAGACTTGACTCACCCCAGTGCAAGTTATTTTCTCTCTGTTCCAGAGTGAAACTTGTTTGGCTGCATTTAGATGTTCCCTTTTGTGCTCTTACAAAACTGCTTCCTCTCAGCTGCTCTGCCCTGCCAAGGATGCACCACACTGCAGAGAATCACAGCCTGGTTTGGGTTGGAAGGAGCTTTAAAGCTCATCCTGTTCCACCCTCTGCCATGGGCAGGACACCTTCCACTGTCCCAGGTTGATCCAAGCCCTGTCCAGCCTGGCCTCGGGCACTGCCAGGGGTCCAGGGGCAGCCCCAGCTGCTCTGGGCACCTGTGCCAGGGCCTGCCCACCCTGCCAGGGAGCCTTCCTCATATCCAATGTAAACCTAGTCACTGTCAGTTTAAAGCCATTCCCCCAGTAAAAACTCTTAAAACTTTTAAAAACCAGAATTTTCAAAAATCTATGCAGACAAAATCCATTACCTATAAATTACACATTTAATTAATGAAACACCCATCGTAACAGGGGGCAATGACCTAATGCAGAACCTTCCCTCATTTCCAGACTTCAGAGAAGGAAAGATCGTCCTGAGCTGCTCAGACTGACACAGCACAGCAGCAGATACCAAATTATTGACTGACAGTGAGTGCCTGCAGCTCCTCCCTCCCTCCTGCTGACCTCCCCAGTCTGGCTGAACAGAGTAACTCAGAGTGCTGGGCTCAATGCACTTCCAGTAACGGGGGTGAAAATGAAAATGCTGGCAAAAGCAGGACACAGAACCCAAAGGTGAAAGGAAATGTCTGCAGAGCCCACAGGGCCAGCACGGGCTCATCTGTCGCCCACGGCAGGAGGGCAGCAGGACAAGGCCATTAGCAGGGTAATTAATTACAAGAAGGACAGTGCTTGATGTCACCCCTCTGCTCTGACAGCCAGTGCAACAGCAAAGACAGAAATCCAGGGAGTGTTCCACTCTGAGACAGTGCTTGCACCAGAGACAAGGCTGAAGGAGTGGTCAAGGGATAGATTTTTTTTTAAAAGTGAAAGAATTATTTAAAAAGAGGAAGTTTAGGGATGATAAGTAACTGTTCCAGGCACACAAAACCAAACACACCCCTCCCTCACTGACACACTCAGAAGACACTGCAGAGGACAGCAGAGCACAGCAATCCACAGAGGGTGCATCTCTAAATGTGAGCATTTGTGAATTGTAATTTATTATTGCTTCAAACTGAGAGAAACAGCTGGGCTTACAGCAGGCTAGAAAGGAGCTGAAAATGTTTCTGTGAACATGCAGTGGGGCTGAGTGCTTTGAATGTAGCAAGGAGACCAACATAAATGTAATTTTATTACCTTAAATATAGCTGTTTCAAAATGTATACATAAATTCTATTAGCAGTTTTCAGGAATTTCTAACTCCACTTGATAAAAAAAAGGTGCTTCCAAACAAGTTCTGCGTATCATATCTTTAACAAATTATTTAATACCTTGTATTATTACTAGACACTCTTTTGTTATTGTAGAGTAACGTTAACAAAACTTGTTATTTTTATTATGTTACCAAACTTTAGCTTCTAAGCAGAAGAAATTAACATAGAGCTCAGACATTTGTGTAGTTCTTCTATATTTCCCACTCCTTTTTCCCAGTGTTTCTGATTAAATGCTACTGCTGCCAGGTGTCTGTAAATCTATTAAAATATTATTACTGCAAAATACTTTCCTGCTCCCTGTGAAAGGAAACCACAAATCTAAACTATGCAGCCCCCAACTAGGGACACAAACCAGGAAGGAAAACAGCAACTGGGGCAGTTTGTGAGCATCACAAGATGTGGATGTGCCTCTGAAAGGTTTCCACTCCTCTTTTACAAAGTAAAAGCCAAAAATACGGCATATGGGAACCGAATTCTTTTTTAACTTAAAAATCAAGGAACTGAACATTCAAGGATAAAACTTCACAAACTCAAACATGCTTGTGCCTCTCCCCGCATCAAAAGAAATCCTCGCAGAGCGCTGCAGCTGAGGTTCTGCAGGATTTCCATGCAGCACTGCCTGTGCCGCAGCCAGGAGCCCCGGAGGCCAGCACGCAGCCCCAGCCGAGCGGGATCCGATGCTGCACGGCCGAACCGAGACGGGATCTCTGCGGGCAGAGCAGCCCCCGAACTGCCCCAGAGGGGAGCGGGCTCAGCCCCTGCTCCCGGGAGCACAGACCCGCCTAGCCCCGGGACCGAGCATCCCCGGGACCGAGCATCCCTGGGACCGAGCATCCCTGGGACCGAGCATCCCTGGGACCGAGCATCCCCCGGGACCGAGCATCCCTGGGACCGAGCATCCCTGGGACCGAGCATCCCCCGGGCACAGAACATCCTCAGGAGACTGAACATCCCCCGGGCACAGAACATCCTCAGGAGACTGAACATCCCCCGGGCACAGAACATCCTCAGGAGAGTGAACATCCCCCGGGACCGCACAGCCCAGCCGAGGCTGCGATCTGCCCCGCCCGGCACCGCACGCTGCCCTGGCACGGGCAGAGCGGCTGCAGCAGTGAAGCGAAGGCTGAAAAAGCCCTGGCGATTTCCACGGGATGCAAAGCAAAAGGAAACCCCAGCAGCCTGCATGGGTCTGTCAGCAGGGTGACAGCAACTCCTTCACCAACCACCCGAACAGCACAAAACCTGCAAACAGAACCGTGCCAGGTTCGTCCCAGTGCGGCCGAGCCGTGTGTCCCACACTGTCACAGAGCATGCAAACCCCTCTGTCAGCTGGGACAGACCCTCAGCAGGTGACAGCTGGTGACATCTGGTGTCACCTGTGGCACAGGGAGCCCAGGGCACAGTGGGGCAGGCGATCAGGACACAGCCCCTCCCTGGCCAGGGCTACAGAGGGTGGGTGTCAGCCGCCCCTGGCAGTGGGCACGGGCTGTGGAGGTGACTCGTCCTCCCCACTGCCCTGAGCCCCCACCAGCACTGCAACACTGCTACCTGAACCTAAAGGCTTTTTCTGCTCAGCTGGAGACCAAAAGTGCTCTCTGGAGAGGCGAAGGTGACCCCAACCCTTCGGGGAGCCGTGCGGTGTGCTCGGAGCTGAGGAGCAGCAGGAGTGGTGCTGCCACGGACACACAGCCCCGTCCTGTGGCTCCCAGCCAGCCTGGACAACTCCAGCAGCAGCTCAGCCTCCACCACACCCAGCTCGTTCAGCAGCTGAGAATACACACACAAATGACAGACTGAAAGAAATGCCCAAGTTAAGCACCTAAAACAGGAGCCAAAAAAAAATAAATCAAAAAACATTAAGGATAAACTGTGTGGCAGACAAAAAGGCAATTCATTATTCACTAGAGAACGAGGAGAAGAGCTAAATAAATGGTTAAAATAAAAGAACTATCCCTCAGAGCTACTCCTCAGAAATCCATGGTATTTCAGGCAATCAGATGTGTTACTGAGTAATATGATGGCTCAGTCCAAAACAGCAAAACCCATCCTAAAATCCTTTGCGTTTAAATAATCTAGAATTTTATTAATTTTGGAAGATTTAAAAATAAAATGCCTGTATTGATTCTCCACAACTACCACCATACAAGAGAATGGGGAAGTGCCTGGCATTCTGTTTCAGAGGAGGGGAAACTAAAACACATGCAAGCACATGGCATCAAATCTGGGGAATTTGCAGCCCAGATCTTGGGGTTTTTCTGGCTTCACAGAAAACTTGCTGCAGCTTTGTCCTGACACAACTCCCCAGAATTAACTCTGCTCACGTGTCCTGCAAAGTCTGATGTTCAGTGCTGGCTCCATGAGGTCAGAGATGAGCTGGATGTGGTGGGGCAGGTGGCACAGCATTTCTGAGGCCAAGCTGGTGCTCTGCTCCAGACACTGCTGGAGATCTGGGAACAGGAACGTCAGGAGTCAGAGGCAGCTGAGGGCTCCTCAGGTACAGCAGCACTCCGAAGGTCACCATGTGCCACACTACCTGATGCTGATCGAAACAGGACAACTGCTGCAGCTTTGTGAACAGTCTCCAGGGTCAGAAATGCCTCTGGTTTGGTCTTCCTGGGCTTCTGTCCTTCATCTTCAACTGAACGGATACAAAAGGTTACCCAAGTAATTTTATATTTAATGGAGCCCTAGCAGGTTTCCATTGTTACAGATTTAAAAGACAATAAAAATCTTAGTAAGTTTTACTCATGACTAGACAAACCCTACTTGCCCCAGTTTTCCAGCAAAAAGAGGTCACACTCCAGAAGAGCTGCAAGCAGTCCCTCAGTGCTCCCAGGAGGGGAAGGGACATGGATCACTCCCATTCCAGGCTCCAGCCCAACACGAGCATTTGCAGCCACTTGCTGCAATGGAAAACTGGGATTTGTGGTGGCTGCTGACCAACCCCAGGCACCATGGGCAGGGCAGCAGCTCAGCCTCTCTCCCAGTGACTGCCAAGCAGAGGAAAACCAAATTACAGGATGATGTGCATGGCTCCAGTCAATGTACTGAGCTCCCAGCTCCTGTGAGCTTCGCTCCCAGCACCCCAACAGCAGTGTTAGAGCATTTACCACCCATTTCTGTAGTGCTTTTCTTGTTCAGGATTTTAAGGGTGTCTTTGGTAATCTTCTTTAGCTGATGCCTGCTTCATCATGCTCCTTACCCACAGCACGAAGGAGAATCAGGAATTGGTTACACTCATGGCTCAAGGATTCATCCTGAAAAGAGCAGATGCAAGTGAAGTCTCTTTGTCTGTCCCTGCCAGAAACCGAGGGGAAACAATCCCATTGTTTCAGTTTTACAATCTGACAAATCCCTGCTCCCTCTAATAGTGCCTCTGGGAGTCAGTCAAAGGCAGGAAGCAAACTGCTAATTATTTCCTAAAATTTCATTTCTCTCTCGTTTCTACAGAAAACAGAAGCAGAAGCTAGCAGTTCATCATCTGGAATCTGAAGCTGCCACTGACTAAGGAAGCAGCTCACAGAGGATGGTCTAAGGCTCAGGCCTGGGATGCTCAGCTGCTCCTGCTGCCTCTGCCTGCTCCGAGGGATTCCCCAGGAACACTCCTGCCCAGTCCCGTGGTGAGGAGCTGGAGGAGCTGCCAAGGAGCGTGCCCAGGGCACACCCACACCCCTGCGGGTCCCCTGCCCCAGGGGGACGTGTCCCTGCTCTGCAAGGGCTCCTTCCATTGCATGGACTTGCCAGATGAACCTGTTCCATTCTCCAAAGCAAAAGCCAACTTTTTCTACCTTCTAGGAAGAAATAAAGCTTTGTCAGGGATTTGGGCATCAACTGAGAGCACATCACCTCCTCTGAGTGCCCATTTCACACAGGCAGAGCCCAGATACAGTCACATAAACAACTGCATCAGCACACACCCGAGAGCTGCCCTGGCCCAGCTGGGGCCCCACCAGCTGAGAGCATTTGTTCACAACACAACAATACAAAGCTGACTGAAAAGGCTGAAGCCTCATAAGAGATAAAACTCTCAATTTGTTCTTTTTTTTTCTTTCCTGTTTGTTTCTCCAGTGAGAGGGAATACTACAATGCAAATGAAAGCCACAGCCCAATTCAGCTCCTCCAGGAATGACAGCAACTGCACCAGCGACAGCAGGATCAGCCAAGTCATCTTCCCTTTACTCTACACATTTCTGTTCCTGGTGGGGATCACTATGAATGGCCTGGCAATGTGGGTCTTCTTTAAAATATCCAGTAAATCAAATTTCATCATCTTCCTCAAGAACATTGTCATTTCTGACTTCCTCATGATCTTGACTTTTCCATTTAAAATCCTCAGTGATGCAAAGCTGGTATCCTGGGTCCTGCGAGGGTTCGTGTGCCAGGTCACCCAGGTTGTGTTTTACTTCACCATGTACATCAGCATCCTGTTTCTTGGTCTGATAACTATTGATCGCTATCAGAAAGCCACTTCCCCATTCAGAACATCAACTCCACGCAGCCTTTTAGCTGCCAAGATCCTGTCCACAGCAATCTGGGTATCAATGTTTGCTCTCTCCTTACCCAACATGATTTTAAATAATAAGAAGAAAACACCCAAGAGTGTAAGGAAGTGTGCTCTCCTGAAATCCGAGTTTGGCTTAGTCTGGCATGAAATTGTAAACTACATTTGTCAGCTCATCTTCTGGGTTAATTTAGCAGTCATAGTGGTATGTTACATCCTCATCAGCAAGGAACTGTACAAATCCTACAAAAGGACACAATGCACAGGGAAGGCATCCAAGAAGGCTGTCAATCTCAAGGTTTTCATAATAATTGCTGTGTTCTTTATTTGTTTTGTGCCATTCCACTTTACCAGGATCCCCTACACCTTGAGCCAAACGAGAGATGTGTTTGACTGCTCTGCTCAGAGCACCCTGTTCTACCTGAAGGAGACCACGCTGTGGCTGACATCCCTCAATGCCTGCCTGGATCCATTCATATACTTTTTCCTTTGCAGGTCATTTAGGAAATCCTTGCTAGACATGCTGTGCAAGCACAGGGCAGTGTCAGGGCTCAGGGCACAGACAAAGGGGCAGAACGAGGGGGATGACACTGACGAGACGCCGCTCTAGATCCCAGGACTCCACACGGCCCTTCCTGGCCACTCGTGTTTATTGAGGGGGCCAGGAGCACGAGTCCATGAAGAGCATCCAGAACTTCACTGACTTCTTTAGAAATAGTCCTGCAGATGAAGCATGAGCCCCCTGGAACCACTGCCTGCAAAACCAGAAAGCTTAAATAACAGAGGAGCTCCCCTGCCCCCAACCTCCACGTCTGTCAGAACTGCTGGGAAGAAGTCTGGACTTAAAAGTGGAACTGTGAGGAACAACTTAAAACAGAATCATGAAATGCTACAGATGATATAATGAAAATTCTGTAAAGATTTTGCAGAAATAGCTAAGCTTGGGCCAGAGTAAAGTCCATGACAGGACCTGAGAAATGCAGATAAAATCCAGAGATGTGCATTTTCTGTACAGGGAGTTATCACCTTGTAGGCAACTGGCAGAGAAACAGAAACCTAGGCCAGATGTAGAGGAGTCATTTGTGCAGATTTTTGCTTACACTTTGCTTATCTCATTCTGTGCTTGCAGTTCCTAATCCATTGACCAGTAATTAATAGTTGTATGTCAGAGGAAATTATTTCATAATCAGGCTTATCTTGGTATTAATCAAATCTCCAAGTCCTTCCCCCTACTACATAAATAAACAAAACTGTATGTTTTCACAGAGAACATTATATTAGAAAACATACAAACACTCGATTTACATCATACTGAGATCCTGGGGAAAGACGGGCTCATGGTAACCACTGATGATTAAGGGCAGCTTTTTGCACTATATAAAATACTCAACCACTTCCTTTTTTGCACTTGGAAAACTTGAAATAAACCAGGGAAGTATTTTCAAGTACATGACATTTTGAGGTATCACAGCAATTGCATGTGAAATAGATTGTGGGCTACTGGAATAAATTGTGGTTCATTTATCAGCACTGCAAACAGCTCCAGTTGAGCAGTGTGTGTGTCCCCATCTCACAGGAGCTCATCCTGCCACAGCCATTGCCTGTCCATCCTTCCCAGGACGTGTCCCTGCCTGCCAGGGCACTTCTACAGCTGAAATCCAATTTCCTAAGAAGTTAAAAGGCAGTTCACTTGTTACCCTCAGCCTTGGGGTTTGTGCATCTCTGGTAACCCAGTGGGATGAATTCACCCTGCCACAAACTGTTCCGTGCCCTGCTCCAGCTGATACAATCAGGAACTGGGGTTCCCCACAGAGCACAGGGCAGCAGAATTTCCTTGGAAACAGTGTCCAGCCACCCTGGTCCTGCTCCCCTGCCGGCCCACAGGCCCCAGGCCAGGCCAGTTCCCATTAATGCCCAGGGAGGGGAGTGCCAAATGCCCCACTCCCACCTGAGAACTGACTCATTCCACACATTTTTTGCACCTACACACGGAGAGAGAGTGGCAGCTACCCAGGAGCTGCTATCCCTGGATTTGGAGAGCTGTCCAGACAACAGACACACCTGTGCCCCAGAGCCAGCACGGACAGGAGTGCACAGGTACCTGGTACCTGCTGCCTCTGACAGCTGGGAACAGCATCAACAGCTCAAGGAACATGGAAGGTACTGCCATGGCCATCAGTCCTGGGGCATCACAATGCACTGACACCCTTCAGTGGCCACCATGGGTGAACAGAAGGCAGGCTGGGCAGCCAGGGACACATCACACTGGTGACAGTGCTGAACGTGACCTAACCCCAGCTGTCTTCCAGGCTGTTTGCTCTCAGCAGCCATTCAACACTGACACCAGCACCTACATTAACCAAAATGTCCCAGGTATCGATGCACAAACTCCCTGTCACAGCTACAGCCTGGGCAGTCCATGGAGCAATCCACCCTGCCCCAGGAAACAGCTGAACAGGAGCCACTGCCCGCGTGGCAGCGAGCCCTGAGCCACAGTGTCACACCAGCAGGCAGCAATAACCCTACACAAACAGCTCTGTTCACAGGGAAATGCACCAAATTCCAGCCTTACACCAAACAAACACATCACCAACCCACAGCTTCCCACGCAGCAGTAGCTCCTCCAGGACCAGCAGTGGCTGTAAAGCAGCACAGTGCATTCCCTGGATACACAGGAATCCCTTCTGCATCCCCTGGATACACGGGAATCCCTTCTGCATCCCCTGGATACACGGGAATCCCTTCTGCATCCCCTGGATACACAGGAATCCCTTCTGCATCCCCTGGATACACGGGAATCCCTTCTGCATCCCCTGGATACACGGGAATCCCTTCTGCATCCCCTGGATACACGGGAATCCCTTCTGCAGCTCCCAGGCCAAGCTCAGGTGCGTGTGTCAGTAACACCAGGCACACCTTGGTGCACGTGGCTTTGGAGCTGGGGCCCCACTGTAAGGTGGCTCTGAGAAGACCCTTGTAACACGCTGGCAATGACTGGTGACATCCAGAACATGGAATTCACACACAAACAACAACTGGGAGCTACAGTCGAGGGGTATCCTGGAACACTGACAGGAAACTCCTACCAGGCCAGGTGTAGCAGCTCTGCCCCACACACACACAGACCCAGAAATGTGTCTGTCTTGAGAGACAGGGTCAGGTTTCCTTTTCTAGTTTATGAGAAGGTGATGTGCTCTGTCATTCAGAGGAAAGGGAAGAGACAAAAGCAATAGCAAACATGACTAACTCAGGCCACAAGTCAAAATGAGGAAGGAAACCACACACCAACAGAAAAAGGTCTCATCTTTCTACACATTTCCCCACTCTTAGCACTCCACTGGAGGGTTCTGCTGGCAGAGGAACAGCAGATGGGGACAGCCACAGAGGCCTCTGCAACAGCTGCAGGTTTGCCCAGGTACTTGCACGGGCCGAGTGTTTGGGGGTGTTTGGGGGTGTTTGGGGGTGCTTGGGCAGCTGGTGCTCAGGGCTGGGAGCCACCTGTGCACATCTGTCTTGGAAATGCTGTCTAAAGCTGTGCTGAGACAGGAAAACAGTGGGTGCTTGGAAAGAATTACCAGAAGTCACTCACCCAGAAGTGTCTGGCTTTTGGGCAATGGCTCTAACATTTCTATTCAATGCTAAATTACATTTCCATGGGCAGACCAACAACACTCCAGGCAGTCTGCTCTTATACCCTGCTGTGACATTACCCTGGGCCTCCAAAATAAGTATGAACCCTTATAACTCTTCAGTGGATGTTAGCTGATAAAGAATTTAAATTTCAGCAAAGATTTAGATTTCCCACGAATCAGAAGGGAATTTGGTGTGTCTAACACACGCTCAGGTTTTGTGTTTATTCATGCAAACTTGCAGTTACTGTAAGGAACACGTAACACTGCATACAGGAGGTTGTGTTTTGTGTTCTCTCCCTCCTTTTCCACCCAAGTCTGTTTCCAGCGATGGGAGACTCTGCAAACACGAGCAGTGTTGGTAACACCAGTGGAGCACCCTCCTCTGCACAGTGTCCCCGTGACACCACCATCACCCACCTGCTCTTCCCCGCGCTGTACACGCTCATCTTCCTCCTGGGGCTCGTGCTCAACAGCCTGGCCTGCTGGGCTTTCTTCCACATTCCAAGCACATCGACTTTCATTGTCTACTTGAAAAATATCTTAGTTTCCGATTTTATAATGACCCTAATGCTTCCTCTGAAGATCCTGACAGACTCTGGCCTGGGACTGTGGCAGCTCAAAGCCGTTGTCTGTCGCTTCTCAGCCGTCATATTCTATGACACCATGTACATCAGCATAGTGCTACTTGGGCTCATTGCTTTCGACAGATTTCTCAAGATTGTGAGACCTTTTGGGAAGTTCTGGGTGCAAAATCTGACCTCAGCAAAGATCCTGGCCAGTCTGGTCTGGCTCTTCTTCCTTGTTCTCTCTCTGCCCAACATGATCCTGTCCAACAAGACAGCGACGCCTCAGTCCGTGAGGAAGTGTGCCTCCTTGAAGAGTCACCTCGGACTCAAATGGCACGAAGCCGTCAACTACATCTGTCAGTTCATCTTCTGGACTGTCCTCATCCTCATGTTGCTATTTTATATAATTATTGCCAAAAAGGTATATGAGTCTTACATAAAAACACAGAAGAAAGGCAACAGAAGCGAAAAACGGATCAAGGGGAAAGTATTCATCATTTTCACCGTGTTCTTCTTATGCTTTGCCCCCTTCCACTTCAGCAGGGTCCCCTACACCCTGAGCCAAACGAGTGCCCACATGGACTGCCGCCTGCAGAACCAGCTCTTCGTGGCCAAGGAGAGCACGCTGTGGCTGGCAGCCACCAACATCTGCATGGACCCCCTGATCTACATGTTCCTGTGCAAGCCCTTTGTGGAGAAGGTGTTGTACAGGAGGGTAAAAGCTCTTCAGAGAACAGTCCAGACAAACCCAAACACTGAACTGGACACACGAGTGTCTCCTACTGAGTCTTGATCCTTCAACTGCACACTCTACTCTGCATGTTCATAGAGAACTTGAAAAATAGTTTGGTTTACTTCTGCTGAACAGCACAAAAGGGTTTTTGCCGAGTCATATTAACACTCAATAAATGCAGCAAAATGGATTTTCTATGTACACTCACTGCACAGCCTTAATGGGCAAAAGTCTCTTGCTCAAACTGCCTGAGACAATCCACAGGTTAATTATATCTGCTTTAAACTAAAAGAACTCACTTGCTAACACCTGAGCAGCTTACTGACTCCAGCTGCACCAAAGGGCAGTTCAGCTTTATCTGGGAGCAAACCCCAGCGCTGCTGACTGTGCATGTCAGTAATTCCTAACCCGAGTGTCAGCCTGGCTGCACATCCAGAGTAGGGAAAAGGAGGAGCAAAGGGAAGGACACGGTCCCTTCCCACCCCTCCTTGCCTCTCTCACACTCGGAATTATTTTCACACCCCCAGTTTCACCATCCTTCCTCTCTGCTCCCAGCAGGATTCTGGTGGAGGCAATAGCCCAGTTTCCCTCAGGACACGCTCCTGGTCCGGGTCACCAAAGCACCCAGGGCTGCATCCCCCACAAAGGGGGCCCCAGAGCCATGTGGTGCTTGGCCCCACCAGGGAGGAGCACCAGAGATGTCCCCCTTGGTGGCACATTCACCCCTCGCATTGCCAGCACCAGGCAAAGAGAAAGGAGAGGGGACACAGCCTGAGTCTCCCCATCCAGAGCATCCCTCTCCAGCCAGCTCACCAGACCATTCACAGAGTTCTTCCCTGGCCATCCCACAGGGACTGTGCCTGGACAGAAACTACTTTCTAATCCAAGATACTGGAATTTATGTCACTATTTCAAGACAGCAGTGTCCCTTATCCCCAGCCACCCCTTCTCCTCCAGCTCTCCTGCCAGCTTTACACTTTCACATGTGCCAGACACTTTGATCACCACTTGACTGCTATTTTTAGAAATTCATTGGTTACAGCAGCCTAACCCAATCCAGCAGGTTGCTCCATACAGCCTGATATTTTCAAAGCTGTTTTACATTGCTGTGCCTTAATTACATCAGCCTCTGGGGTTCCCCAGCTTCTGCCATATGGGCAGATGTATGTCTTATTTAGCAACTTCTACCCACTATATCTTCTTCATCAGACATGTTACACACCTTCCACAGCTGTAACACCCTTCCTAACTGGAAACTGAACTAATCTCCAATCAGCTTTCAATTGGTTCTGAATGTTCCTATAAACCAGTGTTAACTCATTGTCTACCCCTTAGATTAAATGCTATTGCATTAAAGGCTCTCTGCACACACAAACTGTTAACAGGATTAACAATATAGGAAATTCTTAGCTGCTGGAATAGCCAGCACTTTAGTAACTGATTAGAGGAACATACAGGAGGCTGGAAGTGTTCCTCTCAACCTGTTGAGACAGCATGACAATTAACAGAGGAGCCTGAGCTAAACCCTGGGAAAAGAGGGTCTGTGAACAGCTACAGCCGTGACCTTCCACAAAGCAGCTGCCCACTGAAGCTGTGCTTTCAGATCTCACACAGAGTGGGGAGGGATTCAGGACAGAACTCTGCACCTCAGTCCTCCCTCCTCCTCCTGAATCACACCAGCACAGCAAACACAGAGGTCCCAAGGATCCCAGCACTGACTGCATCCAGCTCTGGACTTCCAGAGCAGTGTGGCAGTGAGAAACTAAGCAGATGCTGAAGAATAGAAATTTCTTTTATTTTCTGATTTCTGCTTTTGACCAAGGCTCATCCAATGCTGTGCACACACACTGGCAGCTCACACAGCTCAGGGCTGAGAGCCTGTGTGTTAGGGTGGGTGTAACCACAAAATGGGATGAGTTGGTCCTTAAATAAAGGGTGTGCCAAAGGTTTCTGAGGAGTCTTAATCATCTGTTTTCGAGCTATTGCTTCTTAGGTAGGTAAAAGGGAGCCAAAGCTACCAAAGTGTAGCAAAGTGAAGGTGACTGCAAGGACAGAACACCTGCTTGATCCACTTAGGGAAAAAAAGGTCCCCGAATTCTAGCACTTGGGATTTTGCACATTTTTTTCTACAAAGTTTTAGATCACTGCCTACAGAGGGAGTAGAAATCAAACAGAAGTTAAAATGCCTCAAAGTTTAGGCCTCTGTTTTTTAAGGTTCAACAAAACACCCCAAGCAGTAATTTGTTTTTCACAGGATCAAACAGAACCATGTTTGGAGAGCAGGTCTCCCCTGGCAAGAAGCCCAGAGCACAGGGAGGGAGCACAGCAGCGTGCCATGGAGCTCCCTGGGCTCTGCAGATTCCTCAGGGCAGCCTAGGGATTTATGGAATTTAGCAAAGTTTACTAGTATATTTAATACAGCAAAAAACACCCAAACCCCCTGATTTGTCCCCCCAGCCCACCTAGAATGTGCTGGTACTGCCCTGAGCAAAGCCCTCACTGCCCCACATAGCAAACACGAGCACCATTCCCACCTCACTGTGCTCCCTCCAGCCCATCACACCATGAGGCAGCAGCAGCTCTCCCTTCCCACAGAAAAATGTTCCCTTGCATGGCTTATCCTCACTCCAGACAGCCCAGAAACTGAAAACTGGCACAAGGCTTTGAACCCGTTTGCAGAAATCCCTGTCCCCAGCTCCCCCGGGCCAGCTCCTCACAGAAGGTACCAACACTTGTTGTAAACATCTCTACAGGTCACTGGGTTCCTGAAAAGTGAACTACAGGGCACTCAGCAGGTGAGTTTAATAGGAAATCACTCATTTGTGTACATAAATGCTTATACGAATTTTTTATTTTACTTGTGTTTCAGAAAAAGGAAGTATTTTATAGCCTCACCTAACACATGCACCCTCTTTGGACTGCCTCTCCTCAGAAGGACAGGCTGGCAATTCCTGAGTGCCCAGAGACAAACTGCTCTTCAGAGACATCCTAACCCTTGGCCAGCTACACTCAGCCCTCCATGCAGGCTCCCACACTTCCGAGGACACAGAAAACCCTCACAACACACAACAGTGCTTCAGTTAATTAGAACTGCAAAGCAGTGATTTGCATCCTGAACAAGAGCTGGGCAGACAAGTCCAGCAGCCAAGGTCTGACCCACATGATGGCACATGCACAGAGCCAGCAGGGCACAGGGGGCACTGAAGGCACCAGGACAGGCTCAGCCAGACACTGGAACTACACACTCCCTCATCAGCACACGCTGAGGAACTTGAGTGCAGAGGGGAAAAGCACTGAGCTTTTAAAATCAGTTCTTAATTAGCTGCTTTCCTCCTTGCTCCCCTGTTAGTGACAGGCACCACACAGTGACTGGAGTAATCCACTCCAGGAAGGGGGAAATGTCAGCTCTTCCAAGGCTCTTCCCCTGACAGAAGCACCTCCACCTTCACACCTGCAGCCAAAACACTGCAGAATCCTCCCTTGTTGCCAGCTCTGATCTTGCTGACACTTTTCTGCTTCAAAAACAGAAACAGCCAATCCTGTGCACTGCCCAGGTGATGAATCTGCTTCAACCTTGCAGTTCACATTGCTAAATATGGCAGTGAAGACGTTTCAGAATGAAGCAACACAGCAATTGTTGTAATAACGTTCGGGCTCTTAGGAAATCTGAAAGCTGCTCTCTAATCACCAAAACACAGAAAGGGACATCCAGCCTGTAAATAATGTGAACAATAGTTAAGTTACAGGTTACCTTCAGCTTCTCTTTACATCAGACCTGCACATTTCTTCTGCGCTGTTTTTATGACAAGCTCCCTACATTTCAGTGTTTCTTGTGTCAGCTCGTCCTGACCTGCTCCAGCCTGGGAGCAGCCAGCAACACGTCTGTGCTGGAGCCTGCTCGGGGATGCCAGGGCATCTTCTAACCCATTGTGTCTTACTGATACACCAAAATACCAAGATTTTAAATGAAAGGTAATGCGCCTTTGCACCATGTTCAAAAACAAAACAAACCCCCATTCTGGTGCACATTTTATTATTCGACCATTATTAACACACCAGTTTTGGTGTGTAAACTCTACTCCCAGCGTGCCAACCCCTAAACACTCGAATCGCTGTAAGCAATTAAATTGCATTTTTTAAACATTTTGGTTTTCACTTTCAATTTCTTTGCTCTTTCCCCACAGCACATCCTGCTGCACTGGTTTTTAGACCCCAGCCCAAGAGACCACCAGCAATGGCAGTGCTGAAAAGCAGCAGTACAAATGTGGGCAACACGTGCTGTTTTGCCTGAGACCACAGGAGTGGCTGCATTCCCTGAGCCCAGCCGTGCCCCCGAGCCCAGCTGTGGCCCCTGAACCCAGACATTCCCCCCAAGCCCAGCCGTGCCCCCCAAGCCCAGCCATGCCCCCCGAGCAGGGATGCAGGAGCTGTGCTCCACGCTGCCTCTGGAGCTCACTGCCTCGTGCAGGGGATTGTTCCAGGAGCGTACAAACCCCTCCACACCCTCCGAGTTCTGTTCCCCCAGCTCCAACAGGCAGCTGCCAAACCCTGGAGCACAAGGGACAGCAGAAAGAAGGGAAGTGGAACACACCATCCTACTCAGCCACGTGCAAAGCAAAGGCTCCTCAAGTCTCCTCTCCTTACCTGCAGGGAAAGCCCTCTCCATCCTCAGGGGGTGCCATGTGCCTGGAACAGGGACCATCCCCTGCTGTCAGGATATCCTGGCATGAGTTTGGCAGCCTGTGATGATAAAGCTGAAAACAGAGTGAACCCGTGTTGCTGCAGCTTCATCTGCATGGGTTTGCTTTGCCTTGCAAAAGCTGGGCTTCAAAGGCGAGCTGTGATCGGGGACTGTGCCTGATTCAAAGGAGAGATCCCGAGGCAAGAGGAAATTTTACAGTCTGCCCACAAGCAGAAATGTGGGATTCAGCACAGGGCTCCCTGGATGGAGGCCAGAGGAGGCTGCTCAGCGCTGCAGGGTGGGCTCTGCTCTGGCCTGGCCCCTCGCAGGCTCCGTGCAGCTGACAGGGCCCCTGAGCAGAGGGGCACTAGGGGCTCAGCCCCTCAGATATTTGAGAAAAAAAAATTAAAATCTCTATGGAAAAGTCCAGGCAGAACAGACAGAAAATGGCCTTGGCAGCCACTGGTTTATTCTTTCTTTTCTCCAGAATTTTTAACAAGAGAGATAAT